CATAAATAATAATACATATTAATAAATGATAAATTACGAGCAAAGAAAAACACTTAAAACAAAAAAACAAAATTTTTGATGTAATAAAAACACACAGAAAACCCGCCAACCTCATATGTGACCTGTGACCTTTGGCCACTGGACTCCATTCATCTTTGAGTTGCAGTGATAACTGATCAAACTGTGATGAAATTCCCGTGAGACTTGAGATGTCATGTTCAAGAGGCCACAAACCTGTTTGTGAGGCCACCGTGAACTTGACTTCTGACCTTTGACCACCAAATTCTAATTTGTTCATTCTTGAGTCCAACTTAATGTTTGTACCAGATTTGGAGAAATTCCCTCACAGTGTTCTTGTGTGTTCACAAGAATGCGACTGACAGATAACCATGTAGACAAGAATGAAGCAACATGAAACTAAGCTCATTACAAACCTCTATGTTTTTACACGCCACGTTTTTCACCACAGCAGGGAAGAGATCTGATGCGTTCTTTCCTCGGGCGATCATCTGCAGATAAAACACACGTACCACAAAACAGAAAACTCAATGACGACTTCACAAGGTGACATTTTTTCAGGAGTTGGAAACACTTCTAAGAGAAGTTGAAACTCTTTTTTCATATTCTATTTCAGTCTTTTGCTTTGGTCTCCTCTGTCCTGCAGAGATAATGAATGGGGAGAAGCATGTGGAGCTTCAGAAGCAGGAATTTGCCAGAGATGATGAATATTTAACAGCTGATTCTGCATCTCTCACCACCGTATAGTATATCATCAAACGAGCATTGTCTTACAGAGGAGAGATTTAAGTCTTTAGTCTTAAGTTTTAGTGGGATTTTGATCTGCATCTCTCAATACAGCATCGTTATGCAGCGTTCTAGAGTGAATTAATAATCGTGTTTTCGACTCAACAGTTTTATTTAAAAACAGTTTGTACCTTTTTCGACCTGAATCCTTCTGAATGTGCTGGTCAAGGAAATCTGTATTGTATCTGTATTACATATACTCACGGCCACGATCCGTTTCATCGCCTCCAGCTTCAGTGAGTCTTTGTTGCTGTCCAGCATCTCCTTCAGGTCGTCGTGTCTGAGGGAAGAACATTTGGAACATTAAGTCACATTTTGGTCGTTTTTAGAAGAGATGACCATAAAAGACTCCGATTACAAAGGCGTCAAACAAGAAACACCAGGCTCGCTTTACATTTTCCAAAAACTAATCTTAAACCACACTGTGTCTCAGAAATGATTCTGTGTGAAGAAGGAAATCCAGCTCACAAAGTATGGTATGTGACAGAAAAGTGATGATCCCAATAAACTATTATTAAACGATTATAAATGGAGGTCATGTTTTCATCAGTGTTTTTTCACAGGATTACACAAAAACTACTGGACCGATTACTACAGAACTTGGAATGATGCTGTTCGTATCAGTGAAGAACCCTTTCAATTCCAGAATCAGATCAGGGGGTGGATGCAGAAATCTTTTTAGGCTTTCTCTACATTAAGATCCTTGATTTCTCAGAGAATTATTCATGGATCTTGATGAAAAAAATGGGACTAAAACCCCACAAAAAGTATTTTCATCTATGCAACAACTCTGTGTAACTCTATAGTATAGAAAACTGTCATAAACCAAAAGCTGGCATTGAATTTCTCTTCTAACTAGTTCATTGATCATTTGGTTCCTGATTTATTTTCAGATTCTTTTTAACAAATTTAATGTGTGTCAATTTTATATTTTCTACATTTTTTCCAAATCACCCACTGCTGCTTTTTATTTTGAGTTTCTCAAAATACTGTGGGTCCTACAGTCTTTGCTTTTCTTCTTTTCACATTTTATCGCTAGCCAAAGAAATAGGGGTGCTGAAGGGGCTGCAACACCCCCTACTGGTGAGGAGCTGTAACTGTGAAGAAAAAAAATGTCAAGTGACATTTTGAGAGCAGTATAGTAATAAAACTGGTATGAAATGTTGTTGGACATTCAGATTAATAAAATAAATTACATTGCATTTAAACTGTCAGAGATGATGGGAACAGACCAGTCAGATCACACATGAAAAGCAGGATCCTTGTCAGAGACTCATCTGAACTGACATTTCAACCTGCTGCAGTCCAAACACACACGAACAACACAAACACATCCTCCGAAACCTTCCGCCAGCAACCTGCAAACAGCAGCGCAGCAGCGGTGACAGATCAGAGCAGACAGGATCACTGCTGCAGCTCCCAAGATAAAGACACCAGCCTAATTGAACGCTGACACCCTGATCAATGACATTTCCAGACAGGATAGATTCGTTTTTTTCTGTTCTCTATTGCTGAACAACAGAACACAACTATATAGTGACTTCACATTTTTCTACTAATGAAAGCCTTTGTTTTAACTGCATAGATTGTATATAAATATATATTTTCTGTTTCAGAACCTTGATATCTGGTAATTTACTCAGCGGAAACAAGTGGCAAACATGTTAACATCTCACCTTTTGAGGCTGATAATGAGCCTCAGTTGCTTGTTTTCTCCACAGGCAGTTACAGAGCACCATTATCATTCAGTCCAGAGGCATTTCTCCAAATATTAACTATCTTATCTTTTATCTATGTTTTGGTCTCTACCAATACCTGAGGGAAATATCCGGCTCCTTAGCTGCCAAATACTCAACTACATTCACAGCGTGCAGTGGAACTATGAGAGCGGGGAGAGTACTGAGAAAGGGAGGCTGCAGCTAAACAATGAGCTGAAACTCAGCAAAGCTCCATAGAGCAGAGGGGAGCTGCAGGTGATGATATTCTGTAAGTATTGTAAAAAATATAACAGTAGCTTTTTTGTGAACATACTGCAGACAGAACACAACATGTAAAAAAAAAGTTTGATTTTAAAAACGTACAATATAGTGCAGGGTGAATCAGCAGAAATACTGAGAAGAGGTAAACATGTAGAAATGTTTGTACTCATATATTAATGAAAAATATATAAAACCAACAGTGGAAATCAGACAGATTTTGAGAAATAATTGTATTGAATTTAGTTGTCACAGTGACAACATCACAGCAAATGTGGGCTATACTCTATTGTAGCCTGGTGTTAAGTTACCCATCATGATAACAACAAAATGACAAAATCAAAATAAGAGCAGGAATATGTGACATAAATCATAGACTGTATATACAGATGAACGATGCGTCTCCACTACCTCCCACTATCTAGAAATGAAGCCAAAATAATCCCAGATATGAACATTTCCATCTTTTGCATTTGGAGCAACTATCTTTTATTTGGTCCATGTCCCATCCACCAACATTAAGGAGGAGGGGGGGTTTATGACCTATACTGCCATCAGCCACCAGGGGCGATTGAGTTGCCTTGCTTCCCCGTGGGGAGCAGTCATGTCGTCCGTCTTTCTATAGAGTGTGTATGAAACTGAATAAACAAACAAACAAAATGTACTGTTGATTACAGATTGACATCAACTGTGTTTTAGATTCGTTTTTGAAAATTCAAATATCGGGTATTTACAATGATAGAACATCTGTGCTTCCCATGTTGGCGTCACTTTTCCAGACTTCACTCATGAACGCAACTTCCAACAACCAGACAGGATGATCATAGCGACAGTAAGAGGGTTATGTGGCACGCGTCACTTGGAGATGTGGGAGGGTGAGGTTTGGTCTGTGATGGGTGGGGTAATTAAATAGCTGCATATTTCCGACAACTGGAAAGGATGTAATACAACGAAGTTCAGAGATTTCCTGCCTCCCTGCAGAGCCTTTGTTGGATCTGACATGTCTGCAGAGCCGAGCTGAGGCAACACAGTGAGACCCTCGTGGGACTATAGGCTCCTGTGAACAGTGTGACATTGCATCCTGTCACTCGCACTGCTACAGCATATAACAGGTGTTACATGGTGGATACAAGCAGATCAGACTCTGGGTGTAAATGAAAACTTCTGACAAATATGTTCTGTTGTTTAATATGTTTGTGAATTGGCAGGATGTCTGGTAATCTACTGAAGTGAACGTCTGCTAATGAGCTAAAGAAGGAAATGTTTTTGGTTTGGATTGTTCCATCGTTATTGACTGTTTATGTCCACCAACTGATTTTTTTGCAATACTTGTGTGTATTGCCAAAGAATGTCACCCGATGTGCTGCATCAAATACTCACTTGAACCTATAGTATGTTCATTTTTAAGTGGCAATGAGGCCGTGATCATGAGTCTGTTTTCCTAAAGAATTCATCTTTTTTTTATTCCTGATATTCCTCTTTAGATTATCACCGTCATTAGCAAATTACAGAAAACTATATTAAAATGCAGATTCAAAAATATTTTTTTATTTGAATGAAGTAATTGAAGTCTACGCAGTTGGTATATGTTAAACAGCCTATAAGGGCCATAATGAAGGAATGAGGAAAATGTCATACATTTAGATGAACAAAGACATAATATTACCAGGAAAGAAATTAAATAAATCAAGATAATAAGTTGTAATATTTCAAGACAAAGGTCAAAAT